AATTGGAGAGGAAAACGAGTATATACCTAGGATTAAGTGAAATTGGAGAGGAATAAGAGTTATGAGTGGGGTTATGACCTTAGTGGAGACTTTCCTCTTATTTGAATCGTTGGAAGATGGTGTCTCCAATACACCAATTGCATGCTGCATGCATGAATCTTTATGCCAAAGTCCTCCGGCTACATCTTGAGCTAATATGTAGGCAAAGAGTGTAATTTCCAATTTTATGAAAAAGGGATCGATCCGCTGGTTCGATTGTAAAAATTGTGAATAGATTTGGCGACCAATTTGATTTCAGCTTGATAAACAAAAACAAAGAAATTAGTAAAAATTCGACAAAATGACTGATCCAACCAAAAATCGGAGACGATTTTACCGAGTTTTCTACTAGCTTACAAAAAAAGGATAGAAGCTATAAATTGCACATATATGTGAAGAAGAAGCCGTCGAATACAGATGTAGAAAAAGCTACGCACTAACGGATCCAGCACCCGACGAGCATCGGTGGCTACCTGTGCTGGATCCGCTTATATGTAATTTTTTTATTTTTATTTTTTTGTGTCAACATATATATTTGTTTGGATATATAACTGTAATTTTGTATATTCTCAAGCCAATCGTAGCTCAGTTGGTTGAGCATATGTTTAGTAATTAGGAGATTTTGAGTTTGACTCACTACCAGAGCAATCCATCGTACAATTATTTTAATTCAATATTTTTCACTATTTTGAAGCATAACTATTAAAAGTATTACAGTGGAAAGATTCGAACCTATGATCTTCTTTGGGAATTTTGAAAGTTTGACCATTTTGAGATTTGTTAAATGTTAACATTAATCATATGTTTGATGGGAATTAAAATCAGATCTTTAGTAGATTTTAATAAAAATTGATCAAACATGTGATTGAAAAGTTTTCAATCCTCATAAAATGTGTAATTAAAATTAATTATTGACTTTAATATGTAGCAACGGCTATTTTCCTCTCTTGAGAAAGGGCGATTTTGCCCTTTTTTTCACCAAAATGTATCCTAACTCCGGCAAGCTCTGGCAACCAAAGCCGCCGGACATTACCAACGGACGATAGCGCCTCAATGCCAGCTTCACATTCCACCAAACAACAAGAATTTTCACCTACAAAATTGCAAGAAATCGAGCAAAAAAATTGCAAGAAAAATTCAAACTGCTGGAAATCACAAATTCGGTCAACTCCAGGGCCGGATTCCACCCCTGGCTAACTGCACATCACTAGACGATCCTAACCATACCAACATTTCACTACAAAAACCCCATAGCAACTCATTGCAGAAACTTCATCTCCTGTCGTGACAACAGCGAACCCACCTGCGAAGAATGCGAATTCCGGCGCCGGTGCTCACACTAATGGTAGTGGACAACTATTGACATCTTTCCCACATCCAGACGAACTTGTACATGGTTGCAATTCATCCATATCATCTCTCAATCTAGCTGAATTCTTGTTTGAAAATTGTCCTGTCATGAAGCTCGTGACTCCGCCAACGAAGAAATTGATTTTCGACGCCGTCCAGTGTACTAATGAAGGGGGACCACCTAGAATAGGTTCTCGCTTACTGGGCGCTCTTACGCTCCTATTCCAGTAATGGGTCTTCACCATTTTCATCAAAACCAGGTTCAATTGTTGGTTGCCATTAGATGTCTATGCGAAAAATTAGGGTTTCACAATTTCGACGATCCTTCACTGCTCCAAATGATAAATTCGATGGGGAAAACTTCAATTGATGGTGGAATTTCTATGAAGCAACAGCCAATTGATCTAATTAGTGCTCAAATTGTTGAAATCAATTCTCCAGATTTGCTTGAATGTGACATTGCTTTCAATTCTCCAATTGGTACTATAGTTGAGGGTTTGGCAACAAATTTTACTTGTACAAATGCTATGGAAGGGCCAAAGATCAAGGGTGATGAGTCAATTGGTAGAATTGATGGTCAATTGAATTCGAATCCCATTTCTACACACACAGCTGATAAATTTTGTCCAATCTCTAGGGTACCTCCAACACTTATTTCTATTCCATACATTACACCTTCGATGCCAATGCCACCAGCCAATAGCTCGATGAAAATATCCTCCAACTATGATCCCCCTCCTCCAGTATTACTCAAAACTGATCGAAACGCATCCAAATTGACCAATGGAACTCAAGGTCTAACTCAGCAAACAAGAAATGTTCAGAATACACCAGGCCCCCCTTTGCAGACCCAAAACTCAGGTAAAACACTTGTTCCTCCAACTGGAGTTACGGCAGCTACCCAAGCCCCTTACTCTTATGCCGTAGCACTCAATTGCAAACCTGCGATTACACAGGCTGAAACGAGCCAGAAGAAATCATTTGCACAAGTCCTCCGTGCTCCTGAGGACTCCAGACACCATAGCTTGGTTGCGAAGGAACCATACATCCACCATGGTGAGCTCGCTATATTCTTTGAAGAGTTTGATGAACAATTTTTGGCTGAGGCATACAGGTTCACTCTTGTTGGTAAGTTTGTGCACCGAAAACCCTCAATGATTAAGGTACGCAATAATTTTTTACGCTTTGGATTTACTGGTGATTATAAAATTGGTCTTATAGATGATGCTCATATTATTATACACATGGCACATGAGGATGATTACTTACGATTATTCTTCAAACCTACTTGGTACATTGATGGATGTCCTATGCGAGTCTTCAAGTGGACCCCGAGCTTTAGCCCACAATATGAGGCTCCTATCGTTCCTGCTTGGGTCTCATTTCCCTTATTGCCTATTCATTTTTGTGCCAAAAGTGCATTATTTGCTATTGCTAAAGCTATTGGGCTTCCTCTTCGTATTGATGAAGCCATTTCTAACCTTCGACGACCTAGTGAAGCGAGGGTCTGTATTGAGGTAGACTTAAAATGTAAACTCCCAGATCGGGTTTGGATAAAAAGGGAGAAGATGAGAGGATACTGGCAGTCGGTTGTGTATGAAAAGGTCCCTAATTATTGCTTCCACTACAGACACTTTGGTCACATTAATGTGAACTACTCCAGTAGTCCCCAACCTACTCCATCTGTTAGGGCCCCAGACAGTGGTAACCTCAATCATAGATTAGATCCTGGTTCGGCCAAGGAAAAGAGAAAGGGTAAGGAGGTTGGGACAGTACCCGCATGAGGTGGACACCTGTTAAGAGAGATCAGAGGAGACATGACAGTACATCTAGAGAGACCTCTAAGACCATCCATCATATTTCTCCTCCCTTTCATCCCAGTGGCTTCGCCACTACCATTGTTCCATTTGTGACACTTGCTACTCACATGGCTCTTACTTGCTGGGCTGCCCCTCCTATCATCAACACTACTACGCAAACTTCTTCTTTTCTACCATCTAATCATCGTATTGGCGCTCTCCAGACAGTTGTTCCTGCGAATACTTCTGTGTAGACTTTGGTCCCACCCAGTGGAGTCCCTCTTACAGTTGCACCCATTAGAGTGGGTAACCATAGTTCTCTTGGTGTCACATCCGGTGCTCATCCAGCAGCTCAATCTTCTGACCTGCTTAGCAGTACTTCTTTGATTATTAGCCCTACATATCATCGATTGTCGGCTAATGACTTGGCAAATATGGTTGGTAGGACAGAGGATGATGGTTTTATCCCAGTTGGTCGAAAAAGAAATTCAAAAAACACTAACACTTCACTTTCTAGGATGGCGACCAGGAGTCAGTCGCATGATACCTCTTCAGGCAAATCTAGATAAGTACCTTCATTTGGAATGCAAGAGGTATAGCTGGTGTAGCTACTCGTCGGCGCCTGAAGAAACTTATACAGCTTCATCAGGTTTATCTCTTGGTT